TTCCTTTGAGAACGACCCGAGTCCGGATAGCTCGGTTACTAAATTATCCACTCACAAAAATACTACAAACACTTTCCTGCGGCCTTATACAAAGAATAGGAAACTTCAGTTCACAAAGCTGGTGCTCTGTCAGTATCAGAAGTAACTGCCTCCTCTACTGCTGAAACAACACTGAAGCCATCAACAAGAGTGGAGTTGTTAGGACCAAGAGCAGAGTGAAACGGAGACGATACTTTCGTAGAGCATAACTACATATATTCCTGCTATACTGTTGACTTAACTTCACGAAAAGAATACCCTACTATAAGAAGTGCTTGTTCTAATCTGACATTCGTATTCAACCTCTGGCCAAAAGAAACTCGTTCCATTGAAGATCTTTTACAAAGCACTTTTAAAAATGTGCATGATTTGTGAAATGCAAGTCAACTTAGAAAGAGCTCTTCTTTTCCAAAAAAACAGTTCTCTCTCGAAAACAACCCACTTGCTTGGGCGGGCATCACTTTGCCTCTTTAACCATCCCTTTACTTACTTGGTTCCTGATCTGCACAGACACATAGTTAGGGAGCTTTCAATCAGCAAATCGTTGTGCGTGGTGGTCCGTCTGGGCTGCCCCTCTCTTCTGTTTTTGCATTTCTGTGCAGTGATTAGTGGAAATAGTGCTATGACATTGATTTGTTGCCAATGATCAAATGTATAGATAATGAGCTGTGCCCCCTCAAAAAGCAATTAAGTGAGCTCAGGTCCATAAAGAATAGAATAGAAAGATCGCGATAAGAACCTCTGCGAAATGAGAACGTAACTTGTCGCGTACCCTTGACTAGTAATGTCTAATTGAAAATGTCTTCTTATGATATGAGTCTCTGGTACTGTTCCTATAAAAGTGCCAGTACTAACTGGTAAGTCAGCTCCTGGAAAAGTTCATACTTTAAGGGACTATCGAGTTATAGTGAATACTTGTCTTCTTACGTGTACGTCTGAGTCTAACTCAGTCAAACTGACCGTAAGCTACTATGTTCTCCCACCAGGTGGAAAGGCCTAGCTCGGCAACCAACTGCGCTGTAAGGTTAAACAATTGGGACCCCCAGATGATTCTATATGCTGACACTAACCTTGCACATTTTGCTCGAAACATTTGTAGTTCCTTGCTTGGTAGGCATATAAGATGATTCGCTGGTTATGAGAAGGCTCGAAGAGGCACTAGACTTCCGACTGCTCTAGACCGATGGTAAGAAACTCGATCCACCAAAGGTAGAGGCATAGGTAGATTGGACCGTATTCGACTTCGTCGATGTCCTCGTATCAACAAGCTTGCATTCGACACTGAAGTTTTTCAAGCAGTCCTAAGTTATAACATCATCATAATCTCTTCTTCAACTGTAACCTTAGTATCCAGACACTCAGCTCTTCTTCTATTGCTACTAATCTTTCTATGGTCCTCTCTATCCTTCTCATCTCCATAGTGGAATAAGAAACGTAAACACAAACTATCCATGGAATCGTAACACTACGTTTCTTTCTATACGCTAATATATGCATAAAAAACCAAAGTAAGTCCAAAGGAATCTTACTCGCTCCAACGGGGAATTGCTCGATGAGAAGAAGCTGGTTGGTGTTCACTCACTTTCATGCAGCGGTATGTACTACCTTTGCTTAGTCTAGTATAAGTATGCTTGCTTTCTCAACTGCCTTAGCCACTTCAGACTATACGGTGTAGCTAGCTTAGGGTAAGCTGGTTTTCTTTTTACGGGGCGCGTCTCCCATTCGGGCGTTTAGTTTACTACGTTGGGAGATAATTTCGTTCCTACCCAGCGAAAGAAAACAGTAGCGTAATAAATAAGCTTCGGTGACTCTATTTCTATAAGGAATAGTGGTTTATTATGTTCCCTGATCACTATTTTATGCAAGGAATGTACCTTTCTTTGCTTCTATCCCTACTAAAGACAAAGGTCACACATGAAAGCAAAGAGCGAGCGAATGGTCAAAGCGAAAACAGATCAAGAAGCTTTTTAATGATATAGATGGCGGGTAGGGAGTAGCTCTTTTCTTTAATAATGCAATTTTACCATAATCCAAAACCTATAGTCGATCCATCCATCCAATCCGGGGTCCAGTTCTACCCCCCACAAAGGTATCAGACTACTGAATAAAAGAAACTCGCTTTCCAATGAGTAAAGTAAAGAGAGTCCTCCTTAAGATCTGACTGATCTGGCAGGCTGAGCTCAAAGTTCAGTGTTCTAGACGAAGCGAAAGGAAGGTGCGCAGCGAAGAAAAATTGCGTAGCGTAGCAAGTATTTCTGATCAGCAGATTCTGTTTTCATGGGTGGCACGCCGACACAATTTCAAATCAAGAATCACACGACTATGAGACTGATAATTAGGCGCTAGAGGCGCTCTCTTTTTCTCTGCCTTTGGTCAACCTGGTCACCTTCGCACCACACACCTTTCTTTCCTTCCACTTCTTGTCTGGGCCACTTTAGTTATTCATAATAGAAGAATCATGATGCTTTCATACGAGTCCAGTAGGGTTTGCATTGCCAGAAATTGAGGCGAGCTTGAACACGTCATTTTAGTATTAGTAGTAGGTGTGATATATAGCCAAGGAATAGAAGAGTTGACAAGAGATGCACCGGTTTATGCAGATATATCTGTATAGGTTTTGAAAAATAGGTAAAGTAAAGTAGTTGACAAAGCAAGTAGGAATAGGTCATGTCACAGATAGGCAAGTATAGAAGCAGGAGAAGCTGATAGACATTTGTGAATAGCAAGGCCAAGCTGTATACATATAAGCATTTTAAGGAGTTTTTTGTTGGCATATGGTTTGTTGTCACCACCAACAATTGTTGAGAAACATAAAAAAAGGTAGGCATATTGTTCACGTTTAGGTCAGTATAGAAGTCAAGCACGAGATAGGTGTTTACAAGCTAGCTTGGTACAGTAGGAAGAGAAAGAAAGACCGGTAACGCAATTAAAGTATAGACTAGTTTTCACGGTCAAAGCTCAGCTCAGTAAAATAAAAAAAATCTTGAGAGAAGCGTCTGTTCCGCTTTATCCTTTGAATTGTGGTTCTTCACACACATATTCTCGCTTTTTACTCCCTAACTTAATGCAAGTTTTGACTGTTGTTTTCTTTACAGATAGAGTTTTAAAATCTCTACTAAACTCATGTGGAACAGAATAATGAAGTATTAAATCTGGGTTTTGTATCAGATCAACGAAGCATTTTATTTCAAACGTCGCCCCATCCCCTTATGCTTCACTATTACCTGAGTACGACCATCTGGATCTGGATTACGAAGAGCATCCTCATCCTCATCCTCTTCCAGAGGAATTAAAATCTTGATTACTTCTGGAATACTAAGTGTCTGAACAGAATTCCCTAATCAGTATCGGGTATCAGATATGAAGAATCCCTTTTCGAGTAATAAGTCTAGTATGTCATTGGGTCTATTCCCGTAATAGTGCTGCCAAGTTAATTTGCTAACGAAGTTAGTGTGTTGAAGTAGTCTATCTCGTACTATAGAGCGAGCCGCCTTCCTAGGAAACGGACTAGCTTCGCTCGAGGATAGGAATAGCTCTTGAGGAATTGATGCCCCTCGCTATGGTACGAGACCTCCACCAAAAGCAAGTATTGGAACCTTACCTCCAATGGGAAACCGAGGAAAATCAGATACGAATCTTTGTACGGAAGCAAGTATTGTATATCTATATATATATTTCATTTTATGTGAGTTATATACAAATCATCATTTTATATTCTTTTTTACTATTGTTTTTAAAACAAAATTTTTGAAACTTTGTATACTAAATTGATTTTCTATTGTTTGTATTGATAAAATATAAATCTGTTGGACAAAAACTATATTTATATATATAAATCTACTACATAAAAAATTTTCATACATATAATATAATTGAGCAGTGCTCCAATTAAAAATTGTTCGATTTGAAAAAATTAACGTGAATTAATGTATAATTACACATGTTATATAATATTTTAGGTGTTTAATATTTTTAAACATAGATGTTTAATGTTCTTTTATATAAAATATAAAACTCTAAAAATAATAATATTATTATTTAGCTACTTAAGTATAATCGATATTAAAATGATAAACTAACAGCTCATTTGTCGAACTGTCAGGTAAATTATCATATTATAAGTAGATCATTCTGCTCTTAGAGTTCCATTTATGTTTCAACAGCATCGGTTTTTACTTTTAGTTTTGCATGTCATTACAATAAATAAAAGTCAGGGTCAGTTTTTATCGTACATTGATCTTTTCTTAAATAAATTGGTTTTTAGTCACGCCTATTATATGTTTTTGTTTTGCATGTAAGTAATAGAAATGAGTTTAAAATATTAGTTTTTAGGGACAACGAGTTGTCAACTAATCAAACTAATAATAGTGTACAATGAGGTTCTTAATAATATATTATTTTTTCATGATGAATATTTTATGATTTGACAATTTACTTATGCAATATCGCTATTTTATTTATTAATACGCTTCAAATTATAATATTTCCCAAAATAAATACAGCCCGTGCATCGCACGGGTTACGTACTAGTTATATAGAATCAAAGTTGACATAAAATATATTAATAACACATCTAATGTTATAATTCGGTTTTTAATTTCGGTTCTTCGGTGCGGTACAGTACGGGACGGTTCGGTTCGGTTCTCGGTACGGATATTTGTGAAATCTCCAGAACCGTACCAATTATTTTTTCGGTTCGGTTCGGAGAAAATTAAACGGTCAACGGTTATTTTTCGGTTCGGAGTGATTTCATTTCGATTTTCAGAATGGTTTGAAATTCTCCGAATTCCATACTCAGCCCTATATGTATGGTCAATAAGATGTAGTCGAGCGATGCAAATAGTGACCATTTTACAATAAAAAATAGTTTAAGTTGAAAATCTCAAAAGCAAGCGTAATACGTGTTAAAAATTATTTAGGTGCTCGTCGACTGCTACGCTCAGTGCCCGACCGTAGGAAACATGAAATTTCTCCAAATTTTAAGAAAAGCCGCAGCTTCACCGGAAAACCGGCGCAGATTTGCTTCAATTCCAGCCGACGCCCGCTGTTTCTCGAATCAATGCCTCTCTCACTCTTCCAATACGTACGTCCTCGTATTTTCACGCACATTTTTGAGGTTCAATAGATTCCCAAGAGTTATTAATTTAATTTATTTCCGTTCTCTATTATGTGTGTTTGATTTCCTTGCAGCTCGTCGTTCGGCATTTCTTTCGACATTGATGGAGTGATCCTTCGAGGCGAGACTCCCATAGGAGGCTCGCCGCAGGCTTTGAGAAGATTGTATGATGATTCTGGTTAAGTCTATACTTTGTTCATTCCTTTAATTCTGATTTCACCGTTAATTTGGCTGGCTACCTTTTGGTGGTGATTATTAAGGTCCTCTTTCATCCCCTCTGTGGAGGAGTTATTTTATTCCGTTTTGGATAGGACTTATTTGTTTATGGCTTATGTACCTGTTTGATGGACCTCCATTTCTTTCTTTTGGCAGGTGCCTTGAGAATTCCCTATGTTTTCTTGACTAATGGTGAGTGTGCGAAACGATTGTAGTAATGCTTTATGCAAGTCCATGATTCATCAGTGTCTCGTTACTTGTCTAATGGGTAACACCCACTGATCCACCACATCAGACGGTTGTAGCATTTAAGTTTATCCTTTAGTTAGCCCACCAAGAAATGCACAAATTTTGCTGTTTAGGGCTCAGTTTCCTACTTTACATTTTGCAATTTACTGACATGGGAGAGCCTTCTTATTTGGCATTCAATGATTCTTCTTTAATATTGTGATGCTTGCCAACTTAAAGTGCTTTCATTTAGATTTCATGTTATTTTTAGCAGAAGGAGGAAAACTTCTCCAATTTTTTGTTGTACATGAAGTTAGCACATGATTTATTCTACCCGGCATGTATTGTTGCTTGCGTAAATGTTGAAGTCATAACTCATGTACGCTAACAGGAGGAGGTGTTCCTGAATCTAGCAGAGCAGCAGAGTTGAGCAAATTATTGAATGTCCATATTTCACCTGTCCAGGTCAAATGCAGCCTTGTATATTTTTATATTGCCAACACATTCGGCCTCTGTTGTTATTGACCAGGAAAATTGCTAAAAATGTGAATCGTTTTTCTCTAATTACGCTAATACATGATCACTTTGGTGTGACAAAATTGGGGACGATTACTTTTTCAGGTTTTACAAGGACATTCACCTTTCAAGCCGCTAGCAAAAAGGTATTGTGCAGAGACATTCTCTTTTCGATACTAAGTATTCCATTATCATTAACTACTGCTTTTCTGTTTCTAGATCCATTTTGGAGGGAACAAAACATGTAGAATCTTTAATATTCAAAGGTTTATACTTTCTAAGAAGATAAATCAATCGCCTCTGGCTAGATAAGTAGTTTTCTGTTATTGTTTTCTCTTTCTTTTTTTAAATCTTTTTATGTATACTCGTTTTGAATACTGATAAAATATTTACGAGGTAACCAGTTTGTTTTAAATGAACACATATCTCTTGCAAGTACTATCAGGGGTTAGATGTTTCTGGCATTAAACGGTGTGTAGAATCACTAAACATCAAAGGTGTATTCTTTGAGGGAAGATAAATAAATTAATGATGGGTAAATGAAGCATTCTTTTAATCTGAAACTTATAGCAAATATAAATTCAAAATCAGTAACTTACACCTTTGAGGAATAGAAAATCATGACTATATAATATTATGTTATATTATATTATTGTATTATATTATGTTCTATTATATTATATTATATTATATTATATATTTTTTTTTAATAATCAGTTGATATTAAAATTTATATTCGTGCTATCATACTCAGCGATTGTCAATTATTTTTTAGTTTAAGCACTATATGTTTTAACTCCTGGATTTTTGCTTTTGACAAATGCATCAGTTTTTGCTCTGTCCTAAAATCCTTCAAGATAGCATTTTGTTAGGTCAACTGTTTGATTATTGGCAAGCTGCTTTAAGCCTTTAGTTTTCTGGCTGGAAATTGCCTTTCGAGATATTTTATCTTTCATGCACTACTTGTTAATATATTGATACATTGATGAAAATATGTATGGATAATTGGGTAAAAGCTATAAAAATGAAAGCAGATATACTATTCAGTAAATCAAAATTCCTTGTCTTTGTTCGGAAGATTTGCATGTAGATATCATATGTTCTTGAACATATTAGTGAAAATATATTATGGAGTTCTTTTATGATCATAGTCGATATCATCGTTCTGTAAATCAAGATATTGCTTATGCTCTCTTAACTCTGCAGATTTGAAGATGATCTTGTTATCGCCGTTGGAAAAGGAGAACCTGCAATGGTGATGTCTGAATATGGTTTTAGGTATGCTATCCGTCATTATTTATTTATTTGTCTTTAGATGTCTTTCTATGTGCTTTAACATGCTTCAATTTTCTTTTGTGCCATTTTTAGGAATGTTCTCTCTATAGATGAATATGCGTTGTATTTCAAACACATTGATCCATTGGAGAAATATAAGATTTGGGCAAAACAGCAAGCTGGTTATGACAAAAGCTCTTCTGGAGAAATAGATAGGAAAAATGATCGGTGCTTTCAGCGAGTGCAAGCTGTCTTCATAGTTAGTGATTCCGTCGATTGGAGCAGGGACATCCAGGTGTTTCTCTATCTTAGTATTATCTATTTCCAAATCAGTTTGTGGTTAATAGTATCTTCATCCACATAGGAGAGTAATCAAATAAGAAACGGATATTAGACGATAAGCAATACCTCAACCGGTCTCCTTTATGGACGAGTGACAGATGTATTTCCTTTTTGACTTATGGATGTTCAGTGATCCATGGAAGCATCACTGTGCAATAAGAGTACAAGTTATGGATTAAGTTTGAAGCTAAACAGACTCAATTTGATAAAAATTTGATGCGGCTAGCTGTAGATACTATGATAAGTTGATTAATATGAAGTCTTCTAGGATATGATTTCTAAATTTTAATATGTATTAATCAAATTCTAATTTTCAATAATTACAAGTACGGTTACCTGCATGTATGTGAAAATAATCACTAGCTATAGCTTTAGTTTGTTTTATTAGAACTATATTTGAATTATGCATTTACAAGCATAGCAAGTAAAAGGTTACGTATATTACTCCTCCAATGGAAGGGGATTCTCAATTGGTAAGTTGTATCTGAGGATCATAGTAATAAAAACCAGGTAGAATATCAGCCTGATTATGATTCACCAATCAGGTGGAATTGCACCACAAAATGCAATTTGGTGATTTGAGCATGTGAAGCGGTTATCTAGTTTATGAAATAATTCTAGGTTGGATACGGACCAAGTTAATGAAATTCATAATAGTAGGTAAATATGGTATATACGAATAGTGTCGGTCCTCGGTCAGTTAGCCAATCAGAGATTAAGGCATCCACAGTAAATGATACTCTTAAAGTCTAAATGGTGTTTTATTTAATTGTACCAATATTTTCCCTTTGAATGAAGGAGACAAATAAGTATCTCTTTGTCAACTAAAGTGTATTGCTTTAGAATCCACTTTTAGTTTTAGGGATGTACTCTGTCTTTTTTAACTTTGCAACCTAAAGAAAATTTTGTTGTAAATTGCAACATGTAATCCATAAAATTTATGTATCATATTCTCCGGCCGCCGGAATTAAAAAACCGGCAGAAAAAAAAAAAAAAAAAAAAAGAGGAAAACAAACCAGTTAAAGCAAAAAATACTCTTATAGCTGGAATTCCAGAAAAAAAATAAAAAAATAAAAACACGTAACCAAGAACCACTGTGGAAATCCGATCCTTCTTCTTCCAATAAATTGCCTGGTCCCCGATCGGAGAAAGAGAACGTTCCGCCCTTCTTCCGCCATGGCGCCTCGGAAAAGTTTATGGTCTACGAAACTGGCATACCTCTTAGGGACCCCATTGAGTTCTTGTCGGACCAGGCCGGAGGGGAGTGGAGTCGCGACGGCAGCTTCGGCCTCAGGGGGCTTGACCTCACTGGAATAGAAGAGCTCGTCCGTTGGCCGAGAGGCGGAGCTTAACCTGGTGCTGCCGCCGAATGAGTAATAATCAGGAGAAATGAGAATGGTTGGTCGGGTCACTGAAATTCCTTCGGCAAGTTTGGGGTTAAGGGCCCACTACCTCCACTTTTTCTGTCAGGTTTTTCTCAAAGGCTTGTTACTGTTTAATGAGAAACACAAAAAAAA